ACAATTCAGTGTTTTTTATTGAATAAAAATAATCATTTTACCTGATGTTTCCGTTACTGGTGTTGTTGCTTTAGTGACGTCACATTTCATATCCTCTGAGGAGAGATCCCGTAACAATACTCCTGTCAGATTACTGGGAGTTGTACATCTTGGTTCAGAAAAACGTCCTAACTTTAAGTTTCTTGATTGGGCAAACCTGACAAAATCGGCTAAGATGCAATCACAATGCAGAGGATTCCTGTCCACCGACCTTTAACAAATAAAACTATCATAGTTTTAATGTGTGATATCTCTTTAAATTCTGATATCTACATAAAGCAATAAAAGTTCTTTATATCAAATCTAAAAATAATATTTCATAATCAACGAAGACCAAAATACATGTTTAAACTCAATTAAGCATTATCCACATTACCAGAATTGAATTATCTAAAAAATATTCTGCATACTTACAGGGCCTTTAATTTTGGAAGTCCAAGGAACATGTCTTTGTCTAATGTAGTTATGTTATTGCTATAGATGTACCTACATTGTAACACATACATTTTTTAACCTGATGATCCACGTTCACTATTCATGAAATAATGTTGAATGAAATTTAAATGAGCGAACAACCTGATGTGAGTTAACTTCAAATGAATATATTGTCTTTCCCTGTCTTTGTAAATTGAACCTTCCATCTTAAACCTTAAAATGATCGCAGCTAGGATATGGCTGCCCGTAAAACATCAAACTGTTCAAACTGTACTAGCTTTTCTGAACTACCTAGATATGACGTCATAATAGAATATGACGTCAAGTCACTGCATACTCGAGCTGACATGACAAGGAAAATGTTATAATTTTTACATGGCGTGTAGATTTATTATGGGGACTTGTTGTTTAATTCAAGTGTTAGGATTGTTTTTTAAGCTCGAGTGTGCTATTATGATGTTGAACATTTGAAATTTAAATATTCATATTCTTTTCGCTTGTCTGATATGCACATATTCAAACAATAACGAAAAATTATGTGTGAAACGCTCCCCTTACATATCCGTAGACAAATTAGAATTTATGAATTGTGTTTATATATTGGACTGGCACAAGTAATAAACAAGGAAAAATTGAAGATATTCTGAGTGAATCTTTAAGAAAAGTATGTCCTCTAACTGAATTTTGCTAGGGGATTTTGTGTAGTTTATCCAATTTTGTACATGTATAAATCGCGATAAAGAGTGGAAAATACCCTTTCTTATGTTGGTAAGTTGAATTTCTCGTAAAGTATTTTCTTAACGAGAAAATTAAACCTTTCCCAGCACTTTCTATGTACCAGGGATCATGATGAATTAATCTATGTTACAAGCTTTGCACACTAGTTTTGTTTTGCACTCGTGCCGACGCGATATTTGTACAACAAATAGGAATATCATAAATTTCCGTCACGTGTACAACACAAGCATGTGACATCACAAAAATGCTTTGAAATAAAACCTGATGAAACTATTATCTCAAGTTGACTGCAATTTCAAACAAAGATGACATATAAAAATTAAACTCTAGATTAAACAATGTATATTTTTAAGGCATTTTAAGCCTTCGGACAGCCTACTCATAACGCGTGCTTGTTTTAAAACTAGCACTAATTTTGATTCCAAATTTACAAGGAGGTCATAAGAGGTGCAAAAGTGGACAGTTTCCCGAATTTCCTAAATTCTGGTAGAATTTCGTCGAATTTGCAATACTTTTCACTTTTAAAAACATAGAGCACACGCTTGTCTATCTGAGATTTTTATACACAAGATAAATCTGAATCTAGTGTATGGAATACATATGTATATAAAGGATGACTTCACTTAACACCTTGGTTGCGGTCTTTTTCAATCTCTGTTGTAACATTTATTTTTGTTTTTATTTTTGCCTTAAGTCATTTGTTATAGAGTTTGGTCTATTTCCAAATGAAATGCAATGTCATAATGGTTATAAACTGCGTTGCAATAAAATAATAAGTTGTTTTCTTACCCCACCTCTATGCAAATATTGGGAAATTAAACTTATCTGCCATTGATTGAAAATAAGATTTATAAATATGTATAAGAGGTGGAGCTTATATTGTAATGAGTGGTCTAAAATAAGAATAGTTTCTGTATCTATATTTGGTGCATTCTCTCCCTCTCTCTCTCGTCATATGTTCATCACTATTATTTCTTAAGTTTTCAAATAAAGTATATAACTAATAACAAATAACTTCGACCGATAGAAGTAGTCATTGATAATCAACAGCAATGGCTGATGTCAACACTTCGCGGGTGTTCGAATATAAGTGCCGACTAGCTCAGTCGGTAATGCACAGAATCAAAAATAGTGCACCCGCTAACAACAGTAAGACTTACTTTATATTTCCCCTTTTATAAAAAAAGAAAGAAAAACATCTTAAATACTAATGATTTTTAAGTTTCTTTTATAATTACTCTCCCCCAATAAATTAGCGTGCTGAGGATGGTATGATTTAATTTCCTTATTATTTACTGGATCTTATTTTGGATGCTAATGTTAAGCAATGATTCAAAACATAATAAATAAACCACTTTTTTCTTGTAGACTAGAACATGTGGAGACATATAATACACTCAAAAAATATATAAATATATTAAAATGAAACGCTTTTGAGATAAAAATAAGAATATTCTTATAGATATCTAAGAGAAAAAAGAATAGCCCCTGGCTCGATGGGAATGGATTGAAACAGATATGGACAATAGAAATCACGTGGTTAATTATAATATTCAAAAGGTAACAACGTGGTCAAAATGGCCTGTTTACTATAGAGAAAGTGAACATACAAAGATACAGTTTTTTCTCTTTTTAACCATGTATGTTTGTCTATTGATCTCCTTTTAATATGAGGTAAAATTTATAAATATACAACTACCATAAAAAGGGGCAGAATAGACAAACATGCGCTGACTATGTATCAAGCCTATAAAAAGGTGGGCGTACTCATTATCCTATGGAGATTCCAGAATATGCAAGGACCCCTCCCTATAAAAACGACTTCGAACTTCGTTAATACGAACTTTTAATTAAAGTAAATGCACAAAGTTGTATTTTAGACATTACACATTTCTACCATGAAAAGAAAAATATCCATTTTTAAAATTAATTATGACGCAATTTCTACGTTTTCTTAAGTGCAGTCATCCTTTCGTTGATAGGAAAGCTTGTGCTCTATGTTTCATGAAACAATATGCAAAAAAAAAAAAAAAAAAAAAAAAAAAAAAAAAAAAAAAAAAAAAAAAGAAATCGGAAATTGATATATTTTCTGACCTTTCTATGACCTCTGTGTATCCCATGACTTAGAAACAATACTCATTTTTTATGGCAGGGGTGAAAACAGGTTTTCACTGATAAACTGTCGCATTATTCTAAACGACACCCCAAACCAGGGGGAAAAGGGTCTTAGCCTATCTGGTCCTTTAATGCTTTCAAAATGAAATAGGGCTAAATATTAGTTGAGAATATGGGTGTGATAAATCATTTAAGAATATGGCATGAAGGAGGACCATTCTTGAAATATTAGTTATTTTGGTACATTTTTAAATTTTAACCGAAAAACCTCAGAATTACTCATTTCATGGGTAATCTCCCTTAAGAAAACAGTGTTTGCAGCCGTCGCCAACCTCATTTTCTGGATATGTTGTGTAAAAACCTATGAAAAATCGTAATTTCTAAAAATCTTTTTAAAAAATTTAAATGGAGCAATACATGTGCTCTGTATTATCTAAAAGACAATTCCACTGAAAATTGATGTCTTCTGCAACTATATAAGAAAATACGGAAAAATATCCAAGTTCATGATATCACTATTTACATTTAGGAGATCATACGGGAAAAAAAAAACAAAGTTGTATATTATTAATTACTGCATGGAATTCCAATGACTCAGAAAGGGTGGGTTTTAATATCTAACATCATATCCATATTTTAGAAAAAAATTAGGGCCAGATTTATATTAAAACCGTTCCTTGTTCTTTTCCATGACGCCAAGACAAGATACGCAAAACGTGAATAAATAAATCTCTTAAGCAATAAATAAATATCTTTAGCAAGAGGTATGTTAGTTCTTCCTAGTATCTGAGATATTCGGACATACTTACTCTGTAATGAAACAGGTACACAAATAAAATATCATACTAATTATTGATTAAAAACTACCATTAAGTTTTACGTTAAATAAGTGTACGTACACAGCAACATACTGAGTAAAGCTTAATACTTATAATTTGCTTATATTGTATAAGCCGTTAAAAGAATCGTCCTGTATTGATGTGATTTTGTTTTCGAAAAGAGATCTATCAGAAGAATGTTGTTGGCTTATTGCAGACATTAATAGTAACATTACAACAAAACTTTATAATAATCATGATGTTTGGTATAAAAAAGGAGCACACAGCGATTTTGACAGGGCTGCAGGGGATGGCCATTCCCCCATGGCCCTTGATACCACCTCTTATGTTTAAGAAGTCCTTATTTTCTCTGTTCCTGATCTGAAGTTTTTTAAATGGTCTTTTGAGCTTGAATACTCTTTGTTTACTCTATATATTTCATGGTGCATCTTTTCTAACATTCATTGACAAGATAGAATTATCAGGTTAATTAAAATGCTTGTATTGAATCTGCTGGTCCATGTTGTTAATTTGAAATTTATGCGTCGATATTTTTTCTAAAAGTGAACACCTGGTTTCCCCAACATAAATGGACCCACAAAGGGTTCATTCTATTTCGTAGAAAACATTAGAAGATTTCCAATTCAGTTTTGGTATAGAAGTTGTAAAATTATTAGTAAATGAAAAGTTTGTTATCAAAACCCCACAGGTTTACAGTTTTTGACAGAAAAATTTGAAATCAAACAGATGGGTCGGAAAATGAATCTTCAAATATAAGGGACATGGCGTTAACCTCTCTTAACTTATCCGATATTCAAGAGCATGCTCTGTGTATGATCAAGTTTTAAACCGAGATATTGTAGTGAACAGGTAAGTTGATGTAGCAAGCTCGTTTGAAGTCAGCATTTTGTAAATTTTAGGGTTGTTATATAGACTTTTTTAGCTAATAAAGTCGTATTTTCTCTTACACGTTTCAAATCAATGGTTTGGCCTTCGTTTTCATACTAAAGATTCTTTGACAACGGAATGTGACGTCTACCTGATCAATAATAAATCTAACGGAGGGTGTGACCGGTCAACAGGTGATGCTTACTCCTCCCAAAAAGTTTCTTTGTTTTTATTTTTAAGCTCAATCACTATACTTACAGTGTCTCTAAATTTGGCAATTCTTTAAAGACATTGTTTGGTATTGCGGATATCTGGTTTTGGTACAGAGATCTAAAATCAAGTTTGAAGATTGAAAATAGTATACAACAATCAAGATTCAATTAGATATCATAAGTATAAGAATTCCTCACTTGACACACGGAATGTTAATAGAATACACATTATCATTTTCATAAAAAATTAATGAGCTTACGCATAGAATAAATACATTTATTATATAGCTAATAAATAGTCTATAATAAAAAAAAACTACTAAAAATCTAAAGAATTTTAGGGTTCAATTTCTTGGCGTTTTATTGAATGCTGATATGAGTATGCTCGAAACATTCCGAATACGAGCGTTCAATATCGAACGCCCCTTTGTAAGCAAAAATGTCGTCTGGTCAACTTCTCAAAAGCATATTTATGATAAGTAATGACAGCTAGGTAAAATATGTTTATTTTAACACAAATTTGAAAATATTCATTAATAATTTAGTAAGTATTAGCCTCAATTATACTGATACTGAAAATTCTTATTAATTTTTAGTTTTCATCTGTTTTCTATTTCTTATGAAATAAAAAATCTTTCCACCAAAGCTTTTTTTTAAACAAAATATTCTTGGACTTTAATCGACACCTGACATTCTTGTTTCATCAACTTGTTTGTCCATAAATTTCCACTTGTTTTAGAAATTCCCCTTACGTTGACCATACTCTTGCGTATGGAATCGACTGAGATACATAAACCCCGTATGCAGGTGATGAAGGTATATTGCTGCATTAGTAAGGGATGTTGACGACTCGAAAGTTAAATTCATCACGTTTATCATTATGCTTGGTCTTTATATTACCCCAGTGAGCTTGAAATAAAAGATACCACAGAGTCTGACACATTTGTTTTATATTTGGACATTTTACTATATAAGAAAGTTAATCGTAATCTAAAAACCAAGCCTTCTGATAAATGTGATGACTTTTACTTTTCAATCGTCAACTTCCCCCACATATGTACTTATATACCTTCATCACCTGAATACAGTGTTTATATATCTCAGTTTATTCGATACACTAGAGCATGATCTATGTATGAACAATTTCTACAACGATGTAAGTTATTGACAAACAAGTTGGTAAAACAAGAATATCAACAATCTCGTTTAAATTCTTCATTTCGTGAGTTTTATGGTCGATATAATTACTATTGTTTTGCTCAATGCACCTATAACCTGAGCATATTTGTGTTTTCAAAGATGAACTTCCTGAGTACCATGATCAAATGACTCAGAACAACATACGTATGCAGAAGGATCTCGCTAGAAACGACAATTAAATCAAATATATGAAGAACATTTTTTTTCTGAGTGTTACACTCACTGGAAAAATGCAGGCCATAAACATTATCAACACTGAAGCCTATTTGTGTTGTTGTAGGGTGGCGGATCACTGTGCTCCAGCCCGGTTCAAACAGAAACCCTTGTTCAAGAGTTGCTCAAATCAGGGGTTCTTTCATAAGAAAAAAAGGGACATTTTTTTTAATGGATCTCCTGGTCTTGTGCTCCTCTGAAGCGTGACTGATTTTTCAAAAATAACTGATTTTAGTGTACTGATTCATTTAAATACGCTTGGGCGTGTCGTAATTTTTAAACCGAATATTAAATATTTCAAAATATATTTAATAGCCACGTTTTTGGTTCGCATCCATTTTAACAGCTATTAAATCAGGTGTTGATTATTTCAATTAATTACAAGTCAGAACACAAAGGAATCTGAAAACTGTAGTAAAAACACAGGTCTTAGCGTCTATGTAATTCGACCCGCTTGAAAACAAAATTTCTGTATAATATCATGACTTGCAATTGCATTTCACACTAAAATAAAATTAATTAAAACCTTTTTTTATCTGGAAATTATTGGAACTACGAATTCCTGAACGCGTTGAATTAACACAATCTTGCATTTTCACAAATTATTTCTTCATCCTTAATATTTAAGAAAAGAAGCGATTTTGTTGTGTATTAATTACATCTGTAAGCCAGAAAATTCAGAGTAAAAATGTGCGAAAGCAAACCCCCTCACTAATATTGTCAGTCCCGTGCTCAGTGTTGTGTACAGAGTCTAACAAATTAAGCACACCCGTGTATCGTAAACTGTTTTTATAAACAGGGTACGAGCTCTGTTATTGTTAATGTTTACGATTCAACGGGTGTGTTTAATTGTTAAAGTCTGCACACCACTGAGCACGGACTGACAATAATGTGAGTGGGTTCTGCTTTCGAACATTTCTACTCTGAATTTTATGGATTATAGATTTAATATTTTCCATTAATACACAACAAAATTGTCACTTTTCTTAAGTATTAAGAAAAAAATTGAAATTTGTGAAAGTGCAAGGATGTGTCAATCAAACGCGTTCAGAAATTTGAAGTTTCAATAACTTGGCGCAAAATCATACTAATTAGAACAGACACTGAATTGCTTAAATTTTGAAAACTTATTCAAAAACTAATATAAAAACATAGATACCTTACATGTTGTCTTAACTTTACATTTACACTGTCTTATGATAAAATTACCAGGAGTAGGTAGCTTAATGAATTCTGAGAATGAAGTAACATTATTACTTACAAATTCTGTGTAAATAAGATAAACGAAGTGTTTTATGGTAAACATAAGTATAAACAAATTTGTCTTACAATAGATATAAGGCATATTAGTCAAACCCGATCATACGCGGGTGATAGTGGAATATTACAGTATAAAAAGAGAAAGTTAAGGATGAAGAACCTTATGTTATGGAACGCCAACACTGCCTTATAGCATACAACTATGCATTTATTATGTCAATTTATCATTACGTGATGTGAACATATCTTTACGTTATGTCAATTCTTTATGAGATTATGTAAAAATATCTTTACATCATGTCAATGCTGCATTACATGAAGTAAATACATCCTTTCATTATGTCAGCACTTCATAACTTGAAGTCGAAAATTCATTATATTATGTGAAGCGATAATGTGTTTACATTGTGTTAAAACTTTATTACGTGAAATGAATGTTTCTTTACATCATTTCATTTCTTTAATATGAGAGGTCAAAATTGCATTACGTCAAGTGAATTGTGTTTTATAATTAAACTTATCATTACATGAAGTCAAAAATCCATTCCTTTTCGAGAGTGTATATTTTTATTATATCAAAGCATTATTACATGATATGGGTTTATCTTTATTTTACGGCGAGAGCATTATGATGTGAGGTGAACACATCTTACCTTTATGTCAGTGCTTTATTACGTGTTGTAAAAAGTGTATGACATTATGTGTACATATCTTTATATTATATCACTACTTTATCACATTATGTCAAAACTCAATTCCGTGATGTGGATATATAATTACGTTATGTCAACTCTTTCTTACGTGATCTTATAATATCTTTATATTGTGTTAACTCTTTATCATGTTGATTCCAAAAGTGCATTACCTGATGTAAGAATACATTTACATTATCTCAAAGCTGTATATCTGGTATAAAATGAATGTTGACGACCGTGTTTTTATGACTGGTAAGAGGGGGGGGGGTCCTGATTGATACGGAAGAATTAGAGGCACAAAATATCAACCCCCCTCTTTTCCCAAACAACTTTACAATAGAAAATGTAATGTTCATTGAAAGTACAGCCCCCACCCCCACTTTTTGTTGAAGTATAGTCCACTGAGGGTAATGTAGTATATCTGACAAAAAAATTAGGACTGATCGAAGTTGGACCCCCCTCCCCGAAATAGGATTTTCGGGCTTGGAGTAGACAATTTTTTTTTGGCTTCTCAAGTTTTTTTTTTCGGGCGAATATTTTTTTCTGGCTAACCCCCCCCCCCCTCCTTTCGAAAAAGATGATACATCACGCACTGGAATTAGTAATTTTTTCAACTATTCCAGGTCCAGAATTCTATTACAAAAAAATCTACCAATCCCTCATCTAAATCAATTGAATATGCCTTAGTAAGCATGCATGAACACATATCAGTAGCGGATATGAGAATCTTGAACAAAAAAAAATTGTCCAAGCCTGAAGGGGGACGGTTTATGGTTGGAGACCAAGGGGGAAAGGAGAGAAGCTCTCAGGCTTTATAGTTTTATAAAAAAAAGTTTTCAACTTAATTCAGCTGAACTTAATGTGAAACTAATGCAATGTCCTACAAAGTAAAACCAATAAATTTATTAATTTTTTGTACATGTAGATTTTGGTCACTAAAGATGGTAGGCCGGGATTTCCCCCTCCCCCCAAACCACCAGTGCACGTGTGTTATACCATGTGTTTACACTTTAAAAAAAAAAAAAGGAAAGTTCAAGACTGATAAAAAAAAAAATTATGACAATGTTCTTAGTAAGATGAGAAGTTTAAGACTTTTATCCAAAAAAAAAAAAAAAAAAAATAAACAAACAACAATTCAAAATAAAAAGAAAAAAAATTGCTGCACGACTCATAATATTTGACTTATTTAATTATCAGATTAAAGTAAACGCCATTGAATTTCGACGTGACTTTAATTCACAGTCGCAGTGTTAAGGCTCCGCACGTTTCAAGATTGTCAATCCTTTGTCGCGTAAAATTTTTATTTAAAGATGCCATTCCCAAATCGCTGAGATTTCTTCTACGGCAATTTTCTCTCCCGTCAATTTTAGTGCTCTCGGAACGCGGAAAATACAATCGGAATTCATCGGATGACTCGTACCTCGCACATAACGTTTGAATGGAGCGTAGCGGAGTCAGCCGAGGATTGCCGATTGCGGAAAATACGGTATGCTCATATAAAGGCCGAGGATACCCGTGTTCGCATAACGTAATAGTGAATTGACATAATGTAGTAGTGTGAGTTAATATCATAAAGAATTGACATAATGTAATGATAGGTTAACACAATGTAATTGTTGTTTAATTAAATGTCATGAACAGTAAACATAACGAAATGCAAGAATGTGTAAATGTCATAAAGTGTTGACATAATGTAAAGGAAGGTTTACACGATGCAATAGTAGTGTGGGATAATATCATAAAGAATCGACACAAT